TTTCCGACCCGGACAATTTTAGGGGTCTACAGGTATCAGAAAGGCAACAGTAGCTGCAACGTAGTTCATCACATTACTAATTATATTAATTACTTATTTCACTTCTCTTCCTATCTTTGTCTGAGACTAATTGATGACTAAATCAATTTTCCAGCATATACCAGCAACATTTAATCTCCAATAATTTAGATGTATATGTCTCTAAATTAGTTAAAACAGTAACAATATATATGCTAAATTAAACAATATACTTGCTCATAGAAAATTGATAGTGTTTAAAACTAGCACTACAAACAACAAAATTAACCGACAAGTTATAAAATATTAAATTTGAATCTTACTTCATTATCTGGAGCATGTGTTGATGCAGAAGAACGCAAACCACTATTAGCATTAGCTGGAGTTGATAGCAAAGCTGCAAAAGCTGCCACATTAAATTCAGAGCTGTTTTGATGTAGTACGACCTTCAAAAGAAGTTGAAATTTTTGATCCATTGTTGCCATTTCCTGACGACGTTTTTCCTCTACTACAGCCATTTCTCTACTACATTTTTCTTCTATCTCTTGGATCTTATCATTTAATTCTCTCACCTCATTAGCATGTCTTTTTTCAATTTCTGAAATTTCTTTATTTCTTTTCAATAGAGTAGGAGTTGCAACTTTTCCAAGACAACGCACTCTCCCTGGTTTTTCTTTACCAAACATTGATTGAAAAGCCTCAAAAGAAGATTGGCCAGAATTTTCAATCAAGTCTTGAAGCTTTACCTAACATGATTAAACAGCAATATACATAAGAATTTTCAAAATTATTTTAAAATGATAAAATCATATAATTAATAAAACTTACAATTGCATCACTTGTTTCCAAATCCAATGGCTTTTCTTTATTCTTACTTTGTCGAGTTTCAATGAACATTTCAGCTTGAGTAGGGGCTTCTTTATCCTTCTTACTTGCACGCTATACCAAGAAAAGAATGATGGGAACACAATAATAGAAAGAATCAATACAATTATAACTTAAAATATTAAAAAGGTAATACCAAAAAAATGTAAATATAAATTTTTAATATTAAAAGAAAGCAATACGTACCAATCTTTCCCTTATACGAGCAAAGCTTATAGGCCCTTTTCGATGTCTCCATTTTTGTTGAGCAATATTTTGGGCATTTTTTTGACTAATTTCCTAAATTCGTTAATTGAAATTAATTTAGTATAATAACCAGCTAGTATAATACATAATTAAATAAGTATCTTACTTGAACAAGTTCAAGTCTCCAATATTCCATTAACTCCTTAAAGTGTGCTTCTGATATCTCTTGAGGACGATTTTTCAATCTCTCACGCAAGGTTTCATACTTGCTAAAATGCTCCTTTTTAATGTAGCATTTATATCGCCACCAAGCATCATTTATAATACGAAACACAACCTTCTTGCCTTTTTCTGGAATGATATACTTTTGCTGCAAACAAAAAAAAAATGAATTTATAAATATCCAATTCACTCTAGTATACTAACACACTAAAATGGATAATTTATTACATTGACATAATCCCATATTGAATCTTTGTCCAAAGCCTTCCAATTAGTGTAGTTAAGAGGGCAAAAATCTGAACTTCTTCCTATTGTTCCCAAAAAGCTAGTAAATTCAGAAACTCTTCTATCATCTGGCCCAATAGGTTCTCCTAGGTCATTTAGAGTGATGTCTTGTCTTTCTTCAAGTTGTCGTGCATGAATTTTTAAACATAATGTCTTTCCTCGTTTCCTCATTGGTATTGCCCCTAAGTAACAATAGAAAAGATACACTAATGTTACACAAACATAATCAAAATATAAATAAGTAAAAAATCAAAAGTAGTGGTAATGTTACCTTCAGAATTACTTTCATTAAGTTCTTCCTCAATTTCATCACTTTCGTAGTTGATATCACCCTCATGTTTTTGTTCCATGTCTTGTTTTTGGCCATTCTTACTAATGTACTCATCAATTGACATAGCTGGACACTTTGGAATATATTTTTTCTTCTTAGTTGCTTGTTCTTCCATTGATCCTTGAACTTGATTTTCCATTGCACACCTTAGTTTCCTATTAATGGCTTGGTTTAGGGTTTTCTTTGAAGTTGGTTCTTCCATTAATCCTTGGACTTGATTTTCCATAGTAGAATCTACTTGCCTCTTAAGAATACTATTTTGAGAAACACTTTATTTTTGCTTCATAGTTTTCTTATAGGCTTGTTCTTCCATCGATACTTGAACTTGAGGAGCCATCTGTAGGTCCATTTGGATAGGATTTGAGCCAATTTTTTTTGTTTTGCTTTCAGCACTGTTGGTTAAGGGTTGCTTTCTCTGTTCTTGCCTGTTGAGTTGTATTTGAGTAGGATTTTTTAATTGAATTCCAACACTAGTGGTTAATGGTTTCCTTTGGTTTAACTTCAAACTACTTCCTCCATCTTTGCCAATGTCTTGCTGTTTTTTTCCTGAGGTTAACGTGGAAGTCTTTCTTTTTTCGAGAATTGAAGTACATCCCTTGCTTGCTTTGCCTATTGTAGTATTTTCCACCTTGATTTTGTACTTTTTCAATAATTCAGCACTAGACTTGACTTGAAAATTAGAATTAAAACTACCCATTTCTTTCATTTTCCTGCACATTAAAATTTAAAAATTACATTAGTAATTCTATATATATGAAAAAACTTTCTCTCACATGAATGAGGTAATGCAAGTTGAAAAAAAAACCCAAATGAATTAATAACAACTATATCTTACCGTAATACTTGAAAATCTTCTTGGTATGAATGGTTGAGCCAACACAAGTTGAAACAGAGACCAAATAAAAAAAAATGGTACCTACATTGTTAAAACATAACTTATACACATTATTATTCATGTTTATTTGAACACAAATATACGAATAACAAAAGTTACCAAGAAGTTACAATGAAAGTCATGCATAAACTATATAACATACCATAGGCTATAAAATGAGAAATAAATTAGTCCGATAAAGTATCATCAAAATCAGAATCAAAATCATATTCTGGGTCTATTTGGTCTTTCACAAGTAAAGGTTTTTCAACAACTGTTGGTGGCAAGTCATTCCTAACCAATTCAACATCACAATTTTCATCATCTGTAGCTAGATTTATAGCATGATCTAAGGGTTCACTTTGATATGATTGCTGGACATTTGGATCTGATTGTTCTTCCATATTAAAGAAATCCCTTGGAAAAGTCTTCATAACATAGTTCTTATTTGCATCAAAAGGATCTTGAATGTAGAAACATTGATGAAATTGAGAAGCTAATACAAAAGGATCATCCATATAACATCTCTTGTTAAAGAAAACATAAATAAGGCCATACTTATCCTTTTTAACTTCAAACCAATCACATCTAAAGAGCACAAACTTGAAACTACTAAAATAATCCACCTCAATTATTTCAGTAATTCTTCCATAGTAAGTTACTGGCTCTATCCTTGGATTTTCATCTTTGGAACTTGCAAAGATTTTGGTTACTGACTCAAGTGTCACACCACTGTTTTGTGTTTTACGTCTAGCATCACGTTGTTTTGTATGAAATCTGTAACCATTAATGACATAGCCAGAAAAGCATCGAGCAACTTTATTTGGTCCTCTAGAAAGCTCCTTAAGTTGGTCAGAAACATCTTCTAACAAAGCACGTTTTTTAAACCATTCACCAAAATCTTTCCATTGACTCTTAACTTCAGTCCATCTATTTCTTTTTCTAAGATTTTCATTCTCACTTTCATGCTCCCTACAATTAAAATTGCACATGTAAAATAATGAGAAAATATAGAAATAATGAACTGGTTGCTGACTTTAAGTCTCTATATTCAGATCCTGTATTGACGACATCTCTTTATGAGATTGAGAAGGCTGCTGCAAAAATCTACACTGCAGAGGTCTTTATGGAAGTTAAAGAGCAGATTGTATTGGTTAGTACGTTAATTGTTACTACGAGAGTAGTAATCGGGAACCAATTGATTTTGAAATTGACTAAGTATTGTCATCGTAATGTTGAAACAACAGTTGTTTATGATACTTCAAGGTCAATATTTTATTGTGAATGTAGACGTTTTGAGTCACGGGGTATTCCTTGTTCTCATATTTTTTGTGCCATGAAAGAGGAGCATGTGGACCATATTCCAGACAGTCTCATTTTGACACGATGGACTAAAAAGGCTAAGATTGATTTTTTGTCATCAGATTCATCCAAGGGAGTAGATTCTGATGTGATGGAGCTTGCTCGGTTTGGGGCTTATTGTGGTGCTTGTACAAGGTTTTGCAAAATAGCTTCAAAAAAGAAAGGACTATACAATGAGGTAATGAATGACATATTAAAACTCATAAGTATGAGAAATTAGAGGATTCTGTTGACACACCAAACCCATCAGGAAAGCACTTTTGTGATCCTAATGTGGTTAAGACTAAAAACACTAATTCCATCATTGATTTCTTGTTATCTCTTCCTATGAAACACTGAAACCTCTCTAATTCAAAGCGTCAAACATGTTTCCAACACCCACACTTCCCAACACCCCAAATCAGGTTCCCAATTAAAAGAGTATTTGTTGTTGGCTTGGACACTTGAGTCGATAGTAGACACTTGAGAGACCTCCATATGGATGGACACACACAAATATTACTAAATATATATATATATATATATAACTTTTAGATAAGTCAACTTAAAATATAATATAAAGTTTTAAAAAATCATGTTTCTTGCTTTTTTTGAGGTCTGTTATCATATAAAAAATATAGAAGGTTGTTTTAAAAGAGTGAATATACCAGCAATTTAGATCTTGTGTTATGTTACTTGTTTCATTTCATCAGAGTCTTTTTGTGTGTATGCACTGTCCCAACGTCCTATATTTTAGGCATTAACCGTGACAGGGTGTTCATATCCGTGTTGTGTCCAATGTTAATGTCAGAGTCCACACTTCATAAATCTCTTCTCTTAACATAATCTATATAGCCTAACACAAGTCAACCCTCTTCCATGGGTACCACTAGTAAATTTTTCCAGTGAGGATTAAATATGTTTAGTCTCAACTTTTGTCCATTTTTGTTTTTAGTCCTTAAACAATTTTTTTACTAATTTTAGTCTCTGAACTTTTTCCAAATTTCACTTTTAGTCCTTGAACTTTTCCAAATTTGTTTTTTTAGGAACTAAAACCAAATAAAATTTGTTCAAGGGTTAAAAACAAATATTGACAAAAGTTCAAGGGCTAAAAAACATATTTAATCCTTCTAGTTTCATGTTTTAAGCTACTTATTGTACTCTATTTTGCATGTTATTAGACTATTAGGTTCTTATTTACATTCAGAAACTACTTTTGCATCTTCAGCCCTTTCCTTGCATCCCCTCAATATTTTTTCTTTGGGCATTACTAATAAACCCTCTATAAAAGAAGGGTTTTGACATGCAGATCGAATTTAATAACAATGGTTTCATCTTACTCACTGAAAATACCCTGGTTTTGCCTACATAGTACAGATTGATTCACACTATGTTACCTTCACTACAAAAGACCCTACTTCAACCGTACATTGGAAACTCTCATACATTAGCAAAGCTCTCATTTATCGAGTTTCTTCACATCATTACCAATAGTTTTAGCAAAAACCAATTAAGGCAGGTGCAATTCATAATTTCAAGGCAGTAGTTGTTGATCTCTGATTAAGCAGATTTGTGGCCTAAAACCATGGTTCCGGGCAGCTGCTAGAGTAGAAGTCCGAAAATAACGTCTTTTTAGCATCTTCTTTAGAAAGTAAAGTAGCAGCAACAAGAACAAACAAGAGGAAGTAGTTAGAAGCCATCTATGCTTTCATAAAGTACACAAAAACCAAATAATTAGTGCCTTCTCTTCTATATAAAACAATGTAGGCTAAATTTGGTCAATTAAGTTATTCAATGTCGTTGGAGTTGCTTTTACGTAAAAGTAAAAATAATGCTAGTTTTGTCATGTTAAAGCTGATGGTATTGGTATGCCATGTAAGCCATTTTTCTTTTCTATTTGGCCATGATTAAAAGAATAGGATTCCTGACGGTAAAAGAATAAACATGTGCTAGGTTATGAAAAAGGTAATGGACTTTTAATTTCTAATCCAAATCAATGTTATTGTATACTTTTTATGGTTATGAGTGTATCTATGTTTTTGCCTAGTATATTACGTGAAATTAACTTAGCCATATTGATCTTTTTTTTTTTGTTTCTGTTTTGCTATTTGATTATATTATATGCATTAAATACGTAATAGTTATGAGTTTTTGATAGGTGATAGCTTCTAATAGTTCTCAAACAACAGAGGGTAAACTTTATATTTGATGGACAACTTCGATGATTTGTCAGCAGTTAATTTAAGTGATGATGGAGATGTTAAGCATTCTGTTTCTTCTAAAGAATCTGATGAAAGTGATAGTATGTATCATAATATACAGTGTGATCAAAATGTGAATTCAAATATGAAGATAAGAGATGGTGAATTTAAAAAAATTACAGACTTGACGACTGATGACATATATGGGCTAGAGTTTGGAAGTGAAGAGGAAGCATATGACTTTTATGAGAAATATGCAAAATGTCGTGGTTTTGTGGTAAGAAAAGATGAAGTGAAACGTAATGTCAATGGAAAAGTGATAATGCGGCAATTTGTATGTAATAGACAAGGTTTGAGAAACAAGAAGCACTTCAAAAGGGTAGACAGGAAAAGAGATCATAGACGTATTACACGAGTTGAATGCCAAGCTAGGCTTCGTGTACACTACAACTTAAAGAAATCAATATGGACAGTGACATGTTTTGAAGTGGCCCATAACCATGAATTAACACCTTCAAGATATGTGCACTTGTTCCCAGCTTACCGTGGATTGACGGATGCAGATAAAGCTCAAGTTGATAGCTTGCATTCATATGGAACCAAAACTTGTCATATAATGGGGTACATGGTGGCTCAAAAAGGTGGACATGCTAGTGTTGGTTTTACCAAGAAAGATTTATATAACTATTTTGATAGTCAAATGCGTGGTGAGATTAAAGATGGAGATGTTGCTGCTGCCTTAAGTTATCTTCGTGGGAAGGCCGACAATGATCCCATGTTATACGCAAAATTTGCAACTAATAGTGATGGTAGATTGAAGCAAATTTTTTGGGCAGATGGATGCAGCAGATCTGATTTTTTATGTTTCGGTGACGTTCTTGCGTTTGACACGACATATAGGAAAAACAAGTATAACTATCCTTTGGTAATTTTCTCTGGATGTAATCATCACTCACAAACTGTCATATTTGGTTGTGCTTTGGTGTCAGATGAAACCATTGACACATATAAATGGGTCTTAAATTCATTTTTAGAAGCAATGGGAAACAAACATCCCAAAACAGTTGTGACAGATGGGGATGGGGCAATGAGAGAGGCTATAAAACATGTTTTTCCAGATACATGTCATCGACTATGTGCCTGGCACTTGCATAAAAATGCATGTGAAAATGTTAAGAGTTCTGCTTTCTTGATGGATTTCAAGAAAGCAATGTATTCAGATTTCACTCGGGAGGAATTTGAAGATTTTTGGATGAACATGGTTGAGAAGCATGGACTTGTGGGGAACAAATGGGTTTCCAAAACATATGAGAATAGATCATCATGGGCCACTGCTTACTTCCGTGATATATTTTTTGGTCGTATACGTACTACTTCTCAGTGTGAAGCTATTAATTCAATCATGAAGACATATGTTAGGAAAAAATGCAGCATTTTTGAATTTATACATAATTTTGAACAAGCTTTAAGAGAATATAGAAATAATGAACTGGTTGCTGACTTTAAGTCTCTATATTCAGATCCTGTATTGACGACATCTCTTTATGAGATTGAGAAGGCTGCTGCAAAAATCTACACTGCAGAGGTCTTTATGGAAGTTAAAGAGCAGATTGTATTGGTTAGTACGTTAATTGTTACTAGGAGAGTAGTAAACGGGGACCAATTGATTTTGAAATTGACTAAGTATTGTCATCGTAATGTTGAAACGACAGTTGTTTATGATACTTCAAGGTCAATATTTTATTGTGAATGTAGACGTTTTGAGTCACGGGGTATTCCTTGTTCTCATATTTTTTAATAAGGTTGAACAGAGAAAAAGGAAGCTAAAAATATTTTAAAAAAAATGAAATTCACACGAAATAGTTGGGAGATAAATTAAAGATCAATAAGAGGAACTAAAATGGTAAAACCTAAGATAAATGCTTACATTAAGCAAAGAAGAATTAAGGAGAGGGAAAAAGGGGTTATAGGTGTGAATCAGAAAACAATCTCGAACCTTTGTCGACTTTGATGAGGAGCTTCTTGGCGGGTTGGGGACGAGTGGCTTTCTTGCGGGAGACGGAGGGGTGGCTTTCGTGCGGAAAAACCTTAACGGAACAATGAAAGAGGAAATGAAAGTAGGAATATGAAGAGACGAAGAGGAGGCAGCGTGCGAGAGAAGCAAGTAAAGAGGAGGGAAAGTGTAAGTTTCGCGCCAAAAAAATTATAATATAGTAAAAAGCTAATTTTTTTTCTCAAACAGAACGGTTTTATAATTTAATTTATTTATTATTATAAACAACATTTTATAATTATTCCCATTATGATATAGAACGGTTTTTATAATATTTAAGAATGCAACAATTTGTAACCGTTCTATAAAATAATAAAAAATTAAAAACCGTTGCATATTTAATATAGAGAACAATTATAAAATGTTGTCTAAAATTTTAATATTTTTTAGGCTTACTACAACAATATAAAAAAAACCGTTGTATATTCATACCTAAACTAACAATTTTTTTTTGCCTCCAAAAAAGGCGTTGCTGTAGGGTGATAATGTTGTAGTGAATGCTACGCCGAAAGCCTGAAGATATCCTCGTCGAGCAAGCAAAGCGAGGGGAATCCCCCCACCATAGCTCCTTAAGTTTTCAAGTCTTCTTTATCTTTCAGTATGAACAAATTTGTGCACTCTTTTCCCGCCTCAGCCTTTGACTGAGAGGGTTTTTAACGAGGCACATAGACACCATAAATAATATTACTCCTTTCGCTCATCTCATATTCTTAATTTCCTGTTTATCTAAAGGACGAAAACGAACTCTAAGTGCGCAAATGCCTAAACCCGAGGTCGAACACGAACCTCGACGCTCTCGTTAAAGGTCGAGTTCGAACCTTAATTAAATAACCTATCTCAAATTTGAGGTCGAGTCCGAACCTCGACATTCCGAGGTCGAATACGAACCCCGACGCTCTTGTTAAAGGTCGAGTTCGAACCTTACTTAAATAACCTATCTCAAATTTGAGGTCGAGTCCGAACCTCGACATTCCGAGGTCGAATACGAACCCTGATGCTCTCGTTAAAGGTCAAGTTTGAATCTTAATCAAATAGTCTATTTCAAATTTGAGGGCGAGTCCGAACCTCGACATTCCGAGGTCGAATACGAACCTCGACGCCCTCGTTAAAGGTCGAGTTCGAGCCCTAATTAAAATAACCTGTTCTGAGGTCGAGTCCGAACCTCGACTTTCCGAGAAGGAATACGAGCCTCGACGAGTCCGAACCTCATCATCTACGAACCTCAAGTACGCAAAATCTGAGGTCAAGTTCGAACCTCGATGTTCACACCTAAGGGCAAGTCCGAACTTTAACACGCCTGCTTAGGGTCGAGTTTGAACCTTAATTAAATCGTATACCTCAAAATTTGAGGTCGAGTACGAACCACATATCCGATGTCGAGTTCGAACCTCGATGAGACACGCACTACTCTAAATCTAAGGTTGAGTCCGAACCTTAACCAAACCAATTTGCCTATATCTGAGGTCAAATATGAACCTCGACACTTCCGTTAAAGGCCGAGTATGAGCCGCATACCTGAGGTCGAATTCTTACCTTGGCAAAATACACATGACCCTAAACTTAAGGTCGAATACGAACCGCTTATCCAAGGTCGAGTTCTAACCCTCACAACATAACAAGAATACAAGGTCAAATTCGTACCTTAGATAATTTACTCTACTTCGATTTAAGGTCAAATTCGAACCTCGACACTGATAACTTAAAAGGTCGAATTCGAACCTCGGCACTAGTAAATAAAGATCGAAGTCGAACCTTCATGAAAAATTCACCTAACGAAAAACCGAGGTCGACAACTTATCTCAACATGGGCAACTCAAAGCAAAGTACCGCCACATATAAAAGCGTAGAACAAACACCAAACGTGTCCAAAAACACGCAAAGCAGCAAAAATCAAACGCAAAACACATAAGGGCAACAAAAAATATATACATATACGGGCAAAGTTCCCAGAGTCCAACACTTGAGTTCAAATCAGAAAATTAAAGCAAATTAAACTAAGCTATCACAAAATTGACCTATGCAGAGGCGTTCTCGCTGGAGCTGTCCTCGACGTCGTCTTCCTTGACAAGCTTCCCAAAGCGGATGACTTTTTCTCCACATCCATGGAGGAAAAATCAAACCTGGGAGCGAGGAGCCGTGCCTGGCGAGCGGCCTTCTGAAAGCCCCTTTTGTGCTCCACCACCATGGAGCGCTCGACCTCCGCGAGCCTCCCCTCCACGGCCGCTTTCTCTGCTGTCAGTTCCGCCAGCTTCGCCCTCAAGGAGGCGATCTCGTCTTCCCGGCCACCAAGAACGACCTCGTTGCGAAGGCGCTCCTCAGCCGCT